TATACGCTTACTCAATAGTGGAACGACATCCTGCACATAGTGCCAGTCACAACAGACAAAAATGCAGTACGACTTTTCAGATAGTAATGGCCTCAGTCAACTGGGTAGTGAACTGGGATGACGTCCTACTTTCTTTTCGTACGTCAACTCCTATAGACGTACCGCAATCGCTTCGTATATCACAACTGTCCTACACGCGTATAACAGCCACAGTTAGGTATATTCTACTATGCGAAGCTGACTCTTTGAGGTGGTTGTATAGCTAAAATCATTTGCTGATTGGTCGAATTTTAAATGATAGTGATATCCCCAATGTAGAGTGATGACGTTAATTTCATGTAGTCTCTAAGTTTGTGGCGCTTCTCGTTCAGACACTGCGCTATATTTTGAAGCCGCGGATCAGATCAGCCCTGACAGTGTAACTTTTACATACAACACCCATAACTTATCAATTGTGATGTTTACGCACTTTCCTATGGAATTAGTTCTGAATTAATTCTGCAATCGTTGTACATTGCTTATACAGTGCCACTCTCAAGCCAAAGGACACACCATCTACGGTGTAGTGGATGTGGGTGTCGTTGGGTTGGAAAATATCGGCGAGTCGTACCTGCGGCAAAAGAACAAGAATAGCGGGTCTACTATTGGGCCTATGGTGGCGGTCAAGTCAGCTGTAGTGAAGGAGGCGGCCGTAAAAGCAGCCTTGGCTACCCTAGCAACCACTAACCACGCCGACGTACACACCCACGCACCCGCAGAACCAACTCATTTCATCTCCACGGGCGGGTGTGGCAATAAGATACTACGCCTCCTCACCGGACAAGCGGATGTGGCGTTGCTTAACCTGGCCTGTAGTATGTGGGACACCTGTGCAACCGCAGCGCTGCTGTGTGCTCTGGGTGGGGCTGTGTGTACCTTAGCGGGATACCCCATTGAGCACGTGCATGCGCCTGCGAGTGGTACGTATGGTAACATGCATGGGGTGGTTGCTGTGGGTAGTGGGTTTGATCAACGGCTGAGTGGACTGCTGCGGTGTACAAGGGCCGTGTGGCTGGAGCGGCTGCGTGCGTTGCCTGCAGTGCTGGCGTTGTATAGGGAGAGTATGGGAGAGGGCTATTGCGAGGGATTGCAGGTGTGTGTGGGAGTTGAGTCTACGTGGTGTGTGTCATAGACGTTGCACACACAGGCACGCACACACATACATACATGCATACACAGTGTATTCGGAAGGCAATCGGACGTATCTGCCACACGCCGAATGGGCAATCGGGCTCTGTTTGGGGGTGCTCGCCAGAGGGTGTATTTTAGTTTAATACATTGCACTGCAACGGTGTCGGTGTTCAGTTGGTGTGGTGTCACCCGCACATACACCATTATGCAGAGCTATGTGATATGCTGTCGTGACATGGTCCACGGGAGATGTGTCACTCGTCGTTCCCTTGTCCTTGGTCTGTGAGAGCTCAGTGCACAAACAAGAAATTGCATGATATATGCTGCAACCTACGGACACCTCAGCCATCTAGCTAGGGCAAGTACAGTCTATCTCCGAGTATATGAATGTCTGATAAACCTCCTCATGGGTAGCAATGCTTTGAGTACTAATATCACAGCTGTCATTGGACTATACACAGTCTCAAGCGTTAGATCTGGCCAGAGACATCGACGGGTGCCCATTCACGGTTGAACGGCTCAGAGAAATAACTAAAGACCACAATATAACCGGATTCACAGCCAATGAGTGCGAGACAGTTCGGTACAAGCAGAGCCACGCGTGCAGGTACGTGCAGGTGTGCTCATGCAGGCAGCTATAGTGCAGGTGTACTCATGCAGGCGGCTATAGTGCAGGTGTACTCATGCAGGCAGCTATAGTGCAGGTGTATCCATGCGGGCAACTATAGTGCACATCACGTGCTGCTCTTCTAGTTGCTGTTTGTTGTGTATGAGGTCGCATGAGCGTAGACTATTGTGAACATACATGTCTGGTGTATCTGCATGTGCGCATGGTGATGTGGGTGGGCATGTGCAAGGACTTGCCTGACACGTGTGTGGGCTGTGGTGCACACATACATGTGGTGTGTATCTATTTGCGCATGGATTGTTTGTAGACAATCATATATAGTGGTATCTATGCCGCATGGGCAGGCTCTCTATCACATACCTATCAAATGTTATATGTTTGAGTAAGATGACTGTGGTCGAGTGGAGGGCAAATATATCTGCACACATATCCGGTACGTATTCATTACGAATGCTATAAGCGTGCATGTATACGAACTTCTGTGACATGTCAGTAAACTATCACGCACAAATATAAGTATGCTATTTATACATCGAGGCAAGGCGGATGTCAGTACCACGCACGTATACATGTGCTATTTATATATTTAGGTATGGTGGCTGCAGGTATGCTAGAGCCGTCTGTGACGTGTAGATAGACCACCACGCACATACACATATGCCCTTTATACATCTAGGTGCACAGACCAATATATACCGGTAACGTTTATTGGATCGCGTATACCTACAATTTATGCTAAGTGCCCCGTCGCCTACCAAACCAACCCACATTTGCGTTTCAGGATTCGCTTCATTGGTGGTGATATCAAATCAGTGTTCTACAAACGCACAGTGCTGCGTGAGCTGCCCTATGCCGTCATGAAGTCCCGAACTGTTCCCTTCAAAATCACCCGCGACGTCCAGAGCTGTGGGGTCGAGTCCTCATTCCTGGCTAACCCATTGGTGCACACGCTCGAGGCCAGTGCGAGCTTTTCTATGGCAATTCCTTATTTGGTACAGAAGCGAGTGTTCTGGGATACGCCGCTGGACGCCCGGTTCACCAGTGTGCTGCCTGACCTGTCCATGGAGGGCGGTAATTGGTCACAGGTGCGTTTGTATATGTCTGAGGCTTAGGACATTCTAGTGCTTGCTGTGGGTCTATTGGGTTGAGCTGTCGCTTTTCATTTAGTTATGTGTATTTACCATGTGGCAGGAATATGCCTGTGACATCGGCTAATGGTATGTACCGCATAAATATCTATGAGTAATTCAGCAGTGTATCTATACTTATTTTAGCTTTATATATATATATATATATATATATATATTATACTATTTAGCCTTATATCTTCGGTTAATTCATTCTTATATCTATGATTATTTTAGTATTATATCTATATTTTATTTAGTCATATAGCTTTGGTTAGTTTATTCTTGTATCTATGGTTAATTCAGCCTACATCTATTATTTTATTCAGCCTTTTATCTTTGGTTGATTTATTTTTATATCTATGGTTAATTTAGCCGTATATCCAAGGCTAATTCAGCGTCTAATTTGGCTTGACATCTATTATTAATTTTTAAGTTTAAACAACACCCCAACCTTACCGCACACAATGATAGTGGGTGCTTTCAACAGATTACTAACCCTCTGGTTCATACAGAGTGCCTATCTCGACACTGCTCAACTGAAAGCCGCGCTGAAGGCGCTGGCAGAGTTCCACAACTTCTTCTGGCTGAATAACAGTACGCCTAGAAGGACTGGTGACCATGACAGTGATCCTGAGAGAAACAACCACGGAGCGACGCGGCCTACACAGACATCGAAGCATGAACTGGCTGCTCAGGTGTGCAAAGGCACTCGCGTACATGTGTTCTATTCAGTTTAGTTCCACAGTCAAGTTGAGTGTCTACAGGCAAGCTGTCTGAACTATTCGGAATGAGATACCATGCCATACGTGCCCATCCGTCTACAGGCAAGCTGTCTGGACTATTCGGAATGGGATACCATGCCATACGTGCCCATCTGGTTCCATACGTGTCTGTCTGGCGTTGCCTACAACGATGCGGCGTACACCTCATTTCTCAAATATGTGTTAGTCGTTAACTGCTGTTTCTATAAAAATTCTGCGATTGTTCCTTTTTTGGTTTCTTTCAATCATTTTATCCCGTTATCAGCAGCTATTTATTTAACATAATCTTTATCCGTTCTCCACTCTACTGCCAGCTCTGGACCACGGGTTCGTACTGGCACTTGGGGCGGCAACCAAAGGGACAACTAGATAAGATCATCACCAACTGGCAACGTCTGTACACGGACGTCTTTGAGTTCGACAAACACTGCGAAGACGACCGCCTATCAGAAGGTGTGGCAGCTCGGGATATGGAAACACTCGGTGCACGACTGAGCCAACTGGCCGAGAGAGCATCAGTAGCCACACACAACATCGATGCGACGGGTGCGGAAATTGAGTCGGACGCAGATGCGCGTGAGCCGTACAGTGCCCAAACGATCATACACGGAGACCCCAAAGCACCGAACTTCTTCTTCCGAAGCAGACAGGAGAGTGCAAAGCCCATCACAGAGGCTAATGACAGGGAGTGTGGGGGTGTGCGAGAAGGGTCTCAGGCCGGTGCAAAGGTACACGCGAGTGCGTGTGTTGGTAGCAGTCACTCAGAGAAGAGTGCGGGTGTATCGGATGACAAAGAGACGTCAGGATGCGAGAGCGACACGGAGTTGGAGGTGGGGCTGATAGACTTCCAATGGGCCGGGAAAGGCCTTGTGGCCACAGACGTCGCTTACTGCATAGCTGCATCCGCGCACAAGTCTTGCTTTGAGGAAAGCTCACTGGAAACCTTCCTGGCGTTTTACTATGCTTGCTTGGATAGGGACAGCCTGTCCTATGATACGTTTCGGACCCAGTTTGACCTGGCCTTTATTGACCTGGGACGCATCGTGGTGGCAGACCACTGGGGTGCCATCACCATGGCAACGCTCCGCAAACGAGAGGGCAAGTTTGTGTTCAACGCTTACAACAAATCAGAGGCTATTGCCATATGGTTCTTGCGAGAGCTGAGTCGGTGCTTGGATCGGCAACTCGCTTGTATGGACAGTTAGACACCACTGAATCCTAAACTTTAAAACCTTAAAACCCTTAAACCCAGAGGGAACACATGTGCTACCACTGTTTACATTTGCAGCACGCACGTGTGTGACCACATACCACTACATGCTATCTGTGCGTGTGACAACTGACCACTAATAAACAAATTTTTAGTCCAATCTCTGTCAGTATTTACTGGGGGTTTACCTTTACCCTTGGGAATGTGCTACTCAGAGGTGAGATTTGCGTTTTGTGTGAACAGGAGAAAACACAGAGAAGTCTGCAAGGAAACTCGAAGGAGCAGTCACTGAAATAAGGCATGCATCAAAATACAACAATTGGTCCCACGAACAAAAAAGGGGGGTTGTTCCAGTCCTACATCATTGAGGCCGAACTCCAAAGGGATTCATATACTTTTTCTTTTATTATTGTTGTTTCTACTTGCACTTTTATTATTGGTTTTTATTATTGGTGTTTCTACTACCGTCGGTGTCCTCAGTGATAGTCAGGAAATCAAGGTTGACCTCGTCCGCTATACGTTGCGGGTGCAATGGTTGTTGCAGAAGGCCGCGCGTAAGGACGGACGGCTGCCCGGAACGGATACACTCGGAACAGGTATCATGGATCGGCTTCAGCACGCGAGCCGGTATATTCCAGCCGCACTTATCCTGTACGGGCACGCGCAAGCGGTCGGCCAATAGGTGGCAGTAGCCATCATGCCACAGCCAAATGGATTCCAAGGTAGCCTCTGAAGGGACTGGTTTATCCATGCACCGCAGCTGGAGAGCCGCCAGTTGCTGCAACGTTTCGGGTTCTGTGAACACCCTGGGTGCACTTGCTGACTTGCTATGACGGCGGTTGTAAAGGGGGGCGTCCGTATTGGGTTGATCCGACACCGTGTACGGCACGTCCTCTGGCGGTGGGCGCGGTATATTCCAAGGGCGCTCCGGTACGTCGGGTGTATCCATACTTGTCATCATAGGGGCTTCCTCATTGTGGAGTTGGAAATTTGCCTCCCGTGTACCAGTGCCCAGCGGTACCTCCTGAAAGGGGTCCAGGGCCGCTGGAGCGTCGAAACCATGCACAAGTTTCGCAAGATCGGCCTCGTAGGAATCAAAGGCTTCCGATACTTCGCTATCCAGCGTGTGGGACGAGGGAACAGAAACCGAAGAAAGCGGCACCGATGCCTCCTGGGGCGCCTGTGCACTAGACTCTTTGTCCAGTGCAAGTCTTTGAGCAATCCATGTGTCGGCCTCAACCCAATCCTTCAGATACTGCACTTGGTTTACCGGAATAGCGTCAGTGTCCGCGACAACTGGTGGCGTAGATGGCTCAGCTGAACGTCATTTCCACTGCCGCGCTTCAGCTTGAAATTAGGCAGCCGCCTCCTGGGCTCTGGTCAGGGTTGCAGCATTGATATCAAGATCAGGTAAAGGGGTAGTAGCTCGTGTCGAACGTGTGCTGGCGAAGCATGGCGTCAGTTCGTATCCCAGCGAGTGCAGGATTGGAGGGGGACCCGTACGTCCAAAACGCTCCCAAAATTCGCTCGGTAGCAGTATTGGTGAACGGTGCGGTCCACCTGTAAGCTTGACCATTAATGTGAATTTCCAAGGGGGAAGCCCAAGGATCCGATGTCCTCGATGCAAGAATGTGTCCGGGCGGTGGGGAATAATAATCGGGACATCTCCGATGAGGATGAAGGATAACGGTAACCAGGCCGCGTTCGAGATGAAAGATACCACCATAACTACAGCTGTGTTCGTTATGTCCGCAAAGGAAAGTAAGAAACGGTGTATCAGCGGACATGGACTTTTGGCGTACGCTAAAATGTGGTGGAGGTCGACCCCAAAAGTATCGGCCATACCCCATGTACTTATACCATCAGCAGTGGTGTAAACGTCAAGAATGTGGCCTTCGTGACTGGCGAAGAGCTCGACCGTAAGATGGTCGTGTAGTTGCTGGGCAAGGTCGATCCATATAAAATTTAATGTTAGAGTGCAATGTAGTAGACTTTCTTGAGAGACTACAGGTCTCAGGCCAGATTTTACAGCAAGAACCCATCTTTGATTTATGGAAGTCATCAGAGTTAGCTCACTCCCGAGAGCTAATCAAGCTGCTCAAATTACTCCCAAGAGTTGAGTTGTTACTTAACCGACTTCCGAGAGCAGATTAAGTTTCTCAACCGATTCCTGAGAGTAGATTAAGCCTGTCAACCGCAACATTCTAATAATAGCTGCGGTTCTATGTGAGTCACAACCTATGCGGAAAGGCATCATGTGATCAGCGTGAGATTCAGTTGCAGAGAAGTTAAAATAAAAAAATATCGAAGTGTTAAAGTGTTCCGCATAAGGTTTCTCATACTGACCATATGAGTTTTTACCCTGGCCAGCCCAAGCGGCTGAACACTAGCACAAGCACCTTAGGTATAAAACCAAAGGTGAGGTCAGAAATAAATACATACATTTGCACTTTATTTAAAGTCTACTACATCGCACTCTAACATTTAAAGCCCAACTAAACTGGAATGAACGGCACTGGGATATGTCCGATTGTGCTAAGCGCGAGTGCCACGACGCTCGATGGTTCGGCCCGGAACCAACTAAGATAACGACCGCTACTGGCTGCCCCATTGGCAGATGGTCTAACATGGGTTTCCAATCGACACGGGGTTTAGCTACCGGTTGTAGGATAGGGTCTAGGTGGTCCGCAGTACGCGAAGAATGGTCATCGAATACGGTAAGTGGTCCGGGAATGTATTGCATGTCTACTTCGACCTCGTTAATTACAGCTATAGCCCTACGGTATCGGCTGTTGCGTGCTGTGTCTTCCTGCATATACTGTTCAGGGTGCTGAAGCATGGGTATCAGCGGTTTGTGGTCAGAGACGAGGCAAATCGGACGTACAGACCGTCGGCAAATTGCAAATTTCTTGAACATAGCATACGCGCACCTCGTCATCTCTCTATCTGTCGCCCCGTAGTTACGTCGCGCGTTATTCAATCTCGTGTAGAAGTATGACGCTGGGTACAAGAAACGTAATGGACCCAAGGTAATGCCTAAATCCCGGGGCAAATCAGAGATTACCCTGGCGAAGTCCGACGTCGTGTCCATGGTAGAAAGATCTACAGGCAAAGCCGCTGGGTGAGTCGGGCGAGGTACGCCACCTGTTGGTGTGACTATCCTATCGCATTGTGTATTAACTCGGTGCTGCTCCGCAAGTGTACCACTCCGCTATGAATAAGTATACCACACCCACCAAGTAAACCACTCTGGCGTTGTGATTCGTCGCGTGAATCTTTCGTCGTTAGTGGACCACTCAACGATGTGTTATTTGTGAGTGCACCACTCTCCGCTAGAGTACCACTCAGTGTATCCCCGTTTGTATTATGTTGGCTACTATATGAACTAGCGTCGATATCCATCGAAGCATTACGGGAAAATTGGTACGGGACGTATTCCTCTAGCGTCTATGAGTTTCTCGATCGGATAATTTCGGCTTCTGGGATCACCAATCTGAGAGTTTGGGGGTGTTTAACAAAAAGAGATAACCCTAGATTTGCCCGATACTTCTCGCACTGCTTGATACATTCCGCTTCTTCTTCGTATTCTCTAGTACCTGGGGGAGGGATTTGGGCAAAGGCTGCGGCACCCAACCCCTCATTACTCGCGTCCGGCATGATCACGATGCGTTGATGGGGCAGTGGGTGATACAGTCGGTTCCGTCGCAGGACTAAGAGTAACAGGTGTGTGAGAGCCCTCATTTGTTCTGCTTCCTATTTGAAGACCACTCCTTTCTTTGTCAGGTTAAATAACGGTGCCGCGACAGCTGCCATGTTAGGCAGATAACCGCTCCACCAGGACAATACGACTAACAACAAAATAAGTTCAGCACGGTTCTTAGGTGCTGGCCGAGTAAATAACGCTAGTGCACGCTTCTGTAAAATAGTAGTGGCATTCCCTACCTGCTCCCGTCCGGAGAATTGTACGGGGACATCGGCTAGCTTGAACAGCTGGTTCTTCGGAGGTTGCAATTGGATGTTAGTATCATCGCAAATCCCTACAAACTGCAATTCCTGATCCCAATGACGTAACAGGGATTGTCGAACCGATTCCGAAAACATTTTTTTCGTGGCGATCGGCACGTCGTCCATGTAATGTTCGACGTTGAGGATCTCTGCAAAGGTAGTCATAGTGTAGTGTTGCATGTCGAACGCACCGTTTTCGATCCCTTCCTGTAGACATGTTGGTCGATGAAAGACACCGTCGGCTGTGACGTACGTTCGGATATCTCTGGATTCCAAATCGAGTTCCAACTGATGGTATGAGCCTTATATGTCACAAACGGTCATTATAATGGCGTTCGCGCAATGCTCAGTCAACTGCCCCTCCAACGGGAGTTGGAATGTAATTCTGACTGTCTGTTTATTCACCTGCACGTAGTTGATAGTAATGCGATAGTCGTCCTTCGACTGTGGGATTTTATTTTTGTCTTTAACCACAGTATTAACCGAGCTGACCCACCGACTAAACTTGTTTCCAAATTCAGCCTTCCGTCGCTGGTGTAACTGGGCAACCTTGAGGAGCTCGACTTCCTTAAGGACTGGGCCTCTCGTAAAGTATATCTGTCTGGAAAGTATGGCATTGTTTTTAAGCTGCAGTTTCACCTTGACGTGCTTAATCATCTTAGTATGATTGGCGTCGAACCGAACTCTGTTGAATCCATCCTTCATTTCTTGCACCTGTGCTGGAGACTTATGTAGTAGCATAGCTACCCGGTCGAGGTCTGTGAAATCATATTCCTTGACGTCAGCATCCCTATCCGGTATACATTTTCATACATAGGTGTAATATAGTCCGGGGCTCTAGGTACCAAGGACATGACCGGATGTGATGGGGGTAGTTGCAATGTGAACTGCGCCGGCGTCACTGACGTATCCCAAGTTGTGCCGATAAGATGCTGTTGTAGGGTATCGAAACCCATCAGTATATCACAATCTCGTGAGATCCATTCCGCCACCAGGAAGGTTAGTTCACTCGTTTCAAAATTTGTGGCCACTCCCGTTGATGCCAACCCATCAAGGAGCAACGTGGTACGGACCTGCGTAGTAATACCATTTCCCCGGACCCACCATACCCGTGAAGGTACACTGGGTTAACCTCTTTTGTTTCAAAATTATGTTCTGTCGTAAGTTTCCTAGAAATCATCGTGGGTCGGGAACCCGTGTCATTGTACACTCTGACCGGTTCTTCCTCGCATAATGCTGGTGTAACCAGGCCCCTCCACTCGGATTGTCACTGCGGTGGCGAGTGGGGAATAGCTGGGGTGGCAATAACGACGTTGGCTTCAGTGCACGGAATAGTAGGACACTTGTTACGATAATGTCCTGTCTTCGTGCACGCATGGCACTCGGGACACTGAATACTTCTGTGCCGTAAATTGCATTTAGAACACTGCAGGGCCGTTCGGAAGGTGGGGTACGGCGACCATTACCATAACGGTCGTCACGTGCATGCCAGTCCGCCCGGCCAGGGCTACGTGAATCATATCGTGTGTTGCCGTCTCTATCCATCTGCTCTAGGTCCATTTGACTGTTGCCAAAAGGGGAGAACGGACGTTGCAACCTGTGTAAACGCATTCTATCGCTTGCGTATTGGGAACGAATGCTCCGGGCAGCGTGTGCCGCAGCGCGCGCTGGGCCGAGATAGTCGTACATGTCCAGAAGCGCCGTAGTCTGGTCCCTTGGGAAAGCTATACTAGTAAACGATCTCCATGCTGCTCGAAACACCTCCAACGCTTTGGTAAGCGTTCCCAAGTTAGTAATGTATATACGTTGTAGTACCCGCTTTCAGTCGCCTATAGTTGTGATTGCATGTATCAGTTCCGCTTAGCGGCATCCTGCCTGATACCCATTTCTATAAAATGCCACGAGTATCCCTTCCGTGGCTGATCACTTGAGTGTGGAGCCGCTCTATCCCCAAAGGTAACTGGGACCGTGGGCGCCACCGGGTTCGCAAAGTCAAGCGTGCCCCCGTGGTCCTGGTAACGCGGTAGCCGCATACCATTCACCATATACATGTTTTCCACTGGGAACCACAATGTATGTGAATGCACGTAAATAAATTTGTGCGGTAGTGCCGCCGTAGCAACGCGCTGCAGCGCTTTAGTAAAATCCATCGTCCATGAGGTTAGTTGATCCATCCAAAACGTGCCGAGAATCGTGTAGGGACTTCCGGCCAGCCGCATCTGTTGTGACATATCCTTAACCGAAGCTAGGTACCGGCGAATCAGTCCAACGTCCGGGAACGGGGTATCCGCCATGGGATTCATGTCGGAAAGTATCTGCCTAGCATCGACTTCCTGTTCATACAGAAACTGTGCTCTCTGAAGCTCGGTCGACGTAGAAGATGGTTGTAGGCGTGAACAGTCGAAAGCCACCGGATCGCGACGAACCCTCTGGGTAAGCCTAAAAATTGGTAGTTCAGGCCCGTTGATTTTGTCAAGGAGGTCTCCTCTCTTGGGATTGGTGACCATTAATGAGGTCCATTTGGTCCTCGAACGTCTCCGGGCGAGTTCCGTCGCGGAGACGGCTGTGGCTACGTTGGTCTCGCCGATCATGGCGACTGGTTACAGAATCCTGACGTGACTCGCGGTGATCGCGACTGCTAACCTACTCGTTCAAAAACTCGTCCTGATCCGGTGCCGCCCGATTAACACCGTTGTCGCAAACAGGATCGGTTTTTCGGGTTTGACTGGTACAGCTGGAGTACCCTCTGACACCACAACGGTAGCCCTTCCGGTTGATTCTGACTACGCTGGGTTACCGGTTCCGGCTGGGGCGGTAAGCCTAAAGCTCGGCCGGTGCCAAAGCACTCCTCCGCTGCGTCAAGTAAGCTAAACGTAGGCATCGCCAATTCCCCCTGATTCTGTCGGATGGGGTGTAACATAAAGTCAACCTGATAAATGATCTCTGTCGGCCCAAACTGCGCAATCTCATTGAGCATGATTAATCGCATCCGTGCCGCTGCCATGTTATCCTGGTTGATGTTACGCACCTGGTGGTGGAGATCCGTGGACCGAGCGGAATGGAACATGTGGGTCGCCGGCCCAAAAAGTTCGATCAGAATACGTTCCACGTCGGTGACCGTAAGGTCGTCTGGAATGTTAACGTAAACCCTCAGGAGAACATGCTGCCCCAAGTACTTGTACAGGCCACATGGTCATTCACACCCCTACCGGTGTGAACTTGTCCCCGTCATAAACGGGGAGGAAGAAATTGCTGCTGTCCGACATGGCCTTTCAAATCGCTCTTGGTCTCTTAGGCCTGAGCAGAGTTTAGTTGTAATCCGTTCGGTATCACTACTGGTTTATTGGACTATTAGCAAACTAAACTAGTTATCGCTCAAACCTGAGTTGCCCTAGTAGTGAATAATATTAATAATAAATGAATTCCCGAGAACTCGGGTTCAACATAATATAGTAAGAATCATAATAATGATGATACTGTTCAAAACCCATATTAGGCATTCGCTATTATAGGACCGGAGTAGTCCTGTCCTGTATCATCTAGGACAGGGCTAGAGGACAAGAGTTTGTCCGTCCGAATCATGCATAACAATTGTCGTCCGTCCGTAGTGGCCAGGACAAGGCCATCGGACAAGGTGTCATACCCCGGAATACAACTTTTGTAGGGCGCCGGGCCATACTCTTAAAGAGCAAGGAGTAAATGTGTGGCTCCTGGAATTTGACTGTGAAACTTAACTCACTAAAACCATGGTGTCAGCAGGGTGTCAAAATTGGGATGCGACAAAATGGTACAGGTTGTCGGTAAGGTCTGATATTGGTCTTACGATCCATTTGTGTTTATGACAATCAACTACAGTGCTCTAAGTACGCTAGGGGTAGTGGTGTTGTGCGTGATAGTAAGGGTTAGCGTAAGGGTAGGCGTAAATGAAACACCATGGTTATGACCGAACTTAGCATATTGCACATGTTCGAGTTGAGGTGATGGATCGTTGGACGGATTTGAATGGATGGCAGAAGGTGGCAATGTACGCCGTGGCATGTATGGATCTAAGAACCAATGATCGCGTAACATAGACACTGGAGAAGGCCCTGAACATGTGCTATACTAAGAAGGTTGCGTAGATAAAGTTGCAACCATCGATGTAGGTGATATTTATAGCAAGCAGGGTGAGTAGTGCGAATACGTATATATATGGAGGTAGAAAGGATAAGTTATGACAGTTATTTTTAAGTCTAATACCGCGTATATTGAATCGTGTAATAAACGAGTTTTTTTCTACCGTTGAAGGTAGTTGCCTACGAACTTTAACGTGCACTACATATTAACTATTTAAAGTGCACTACACTTTCACCTTTATTCTTATTGTTTCTACTTTCACTTTCATTATTGTTGTTTCTACTTTCACTTTCATTATTGTTGTTTCTACTTTCACTTTTACTACTTTCACCTTTATTATTATTGTTTCTACTTTCACCTTTATCATTATTGTTTCTACTTTCAGAGCATGCGGGATTGGGACTGGAAGTAATTGTACGCGTCCCATGAATCGCCCATCGCTTAACAGGTTACGGGATAGGGATGATATTATTCATTTTAATTTGGATAAAGTTTTGTCTACATGGACTTCAGGCTTCATATTCGTTGGAGAGGTTCTGGGAAAATTGAAGGGAAGTTGAGATTGTCGAACTGCGGGTGCAAGCATATGGTTGGTACATCTGTAGGCTGCATCATCCAATACGTAAGAAAACAAGAGCATATCTTCTACTAGCAGGTCTAACCTTCTATATTCCCAAGCTCGACGATCAAGCATACTACCTTGAGCCGTTATAGAAGATGCAACAGACTTATAGTTTGCATCATACATGGCTTAAACCCTAAAATCAGTCTTGTGTCCAGTATACAAATGCCGCCTATACTGACATCTATTCAACGGCGGGAAAAGTTACGCACACAAATAATCCATCGGCCACGGCAACGCAATGGCTAATCAACGCACAAGTACGATGTGATTCGAACCCTTCTGCTACTTTGGCAATCTCTTCTTCCTCTTTTGGAAAGCGGAAATCCAGAAAACTTAAACCATCAATTGCGTACAAAACTTTTCATAAAATATATTACACAGCGGCAGAAGAAATCACGAACACAATATTGATATCTTGATATTTTTCACCGGCTGATATACAAAGGACGACAGCAAGTTGTACCTCCACATCTATTCTCTTGCGTGTTTCGTTGATTTCGCGTGCAAGAAACAAAAACTGGATACTTCGTAAGAAATGTGTCCTCGAAACTGCATTCTGCTTTTAGCAGAGCGCAGGGTGTTTGCTAATTCGCCCGAGTACGAGCAACAAGCGTCCCTCTATCGCACTTCATCTTAAAGCTGGAAAGACCATCACCCACTATATCCCTTTCCATCGATCGCAGTAGCAAGTAAAGTTTAAACAGCATAACTCGTCGTTTGCGTGCTACCGCCTTGTTTTTTAAGATAGCCATCGTTACAATGAACTAATATACTGTATGATTTCGTATCGTACACACACTATAACAGACAAAAGCTTTGTGAAGTATGTATACAAAATGAGTTAAAACGGCTCACACAACGGTGCATTGACACGCAATATTCTACCATATTGCAACCAATAGAAAAAAACCTTTCCGTTAACCTGTAAAAACGAAAGTGTAACTTTCAAGGCACGTCGGCCCTTTTTCAGCCTTTTAATATTATACTTAAACGTTAAATGGCTTTAATCGATTCGACTCGCCCATAGACGCGCCCTAAAAACCACCCTTAAATATTATTCATGTTTTTTCTACTTTCATTTTATTACGGTTTTTCCTATTTACACTTTTATTATTGTTTTTTCCTTAACCCGGGTCGTGTCATGTCGTTCTTTCCGGATGCAAGTCTGAATCGGAAACGACAAGAAGAGAGAGATGAGAAGGCGCACATTAGGTGCATATGTAATAATTAAGCAGAACAGGCCCCTGCGTGGGAAACAGCACTTTCGAACTTGATGTATATCACATGCACGTCAGGAGCTAGTACAAACGTTTGTTAGGCACCTCTCCATCTACATGGACAGGGACATAGTATGCATGGCAGTATACTCGCTAGCTAACATCTCACATACGATACGTTGATCCGGGTTAATATCTGAACAGTTGAACGTACAGATGAGACAACGAATATGGCAATGTCACAGGCAGCCAGAGAGCTTGGAGGAGAGGGAGACGTATGACCCGAATGCCACTAAACCCTAAACCAAAAACTCTAAAATTGCAAATGCTTGTTGTTGGTTTTTAGGTGTGGTATGACATAAAATGCAGAAGACAGTCACGCAACGCTGTCTGCCTCCACTAGCCATTGCACCCGATTCAACACTAACAACACCCACGCACAGTACCACACAAGGAGAATTATCGGTTACCTGTGATCCATAGGAAACCAGCAACATCCTACTGTAAATATGAAACCAGCAGCAACCTGCTGTATCTTTAAAACCAGCAACACCCTACTGTAACTTTGACACCAGCAACACCTTACTGTAACTATGAAACCAGCAACACCCTACTGTATCTTTAAAACCAGCAACACCCTACTGTAAGTATGAAACCAACAACACCCTACTATAACTTTGACACCAGCAACACCCTAATGAAACTGAAACCTGCAACACCCTGCTGTAACTATGAAACCAGCAACACCCTACTGTAAGTATGAAACCAGCAACACACTACTGCATCTTTAAATCCAGCAACACTCTACTGTATCTATGAAACCAGCAATACCCTACTGTATCTATGAAACCAGCAACACCACACTGTATCCAAACCATTGTAACGTCTACAAACGCATCACATCGCAACTGTAGCATACGCGACTACACACGCGCACCACCCACACCGGCATACTTGTTTTGTATTCTGACTGAGACGGAGGTCTGTTCGTCCCATGGCGTGGCTGCGCTTGTATCGGCTTCTCGCAGGTGTGTGTATTTTGTTCTGCCTGATCTACCAAAGTTCTGTGCCAGGGTGAAACAACCAACGAATGCTTCAATGCGGTGAACAGTGAAGGAATAGCCACTACAAGGTATGGGATGTCTTGGGCACAGAGCCAAGCAGCACACAGCAGATTAATAAGATGTGCGAAAGCAGGGAGCTTCGACTTCCACTCTTACTACACACAACTGTTTCTATATAATTTGTATATATATATATATATATATATATATATAGAACGAACGACGTATTGTTTTATGTATATGTATATATATATATTATATACTACCTACTATACTCGCAATGTTTCTAAATATATATATATATGGACATATATCTCTACCACTACACACGTACGGTTATAGTACAGTGTAAATGTATTGAGCATCAGCTACGACTGCATAAGTAAGACACAACATATACACCTCTAAGCTGTGTATGATATATAACGAGATGTAACACATACACGTCTAAAGCTGTGTATGATACCATAATGAAAGGTAGCACATACACCCTTAAGCTGTGCATGATAGTATCGTAAGCTGTGCATGATAGTATAATGAGAAGTAACACATACACGTCTAAGCTGTGTATGATACCATAACGAAAGGTAGCACATACACCCTTAAGCTGTGCATGATAGTATAATGAGATGTAGCACATACACCCTTAAGCTGTGTATGATAGTATAATGAGATGTAACACATACACGTCTAAGCTGTGTACGATACTATGAAACACACACACCTTGACCTGCATAACCTTTGGCAAGATTGTTTTGTCGACCACGTCTTCGCCCGTGGCTGCAGTGTAGTCGTGCTTCTTGAGCATGCCCTTTGCCTCGTCCGTGTAGAAGGCGCCCTTGTGGTAGTACTTCTGCAGGTATCTGTAGTTGGCTTTCTCTGTCGGGACGGACTCTGTGATAATGTAGGTGAAAGGCGATGTGTGGCAATGAATGGTGAGGTAATGGGGTGGGTCTTACAGAATGAATGATAGGTGACTCATCTATACATATGTTACACACCCAGGTGCAGTGGGTTGTCTCATATTTATAGCACTTGTATATCCGTTTATGTAACAAAGGATTCACAACGGAGAACAAAAATTAGGTTATTAGTCGGATCCGATGCAAACCACCAGACACGCTTGTTACATACACTCTGATATTCCCCGAAACCTCTCTGAGTTATACACTGTGAGAGAAGCTTAATCGACGCACCCAGTTAACTAAGAGTGCACTAGGTGGCATTGTCATTGAATCGGAGTATCACAACATACACATCTGCACCTTCATAGGAATTACACCAAACCCACACACCCTAGACAACTTACCTACCCTGCCCAAATATGGCAGCGAAGAATGCATAAACGGCAACCATGCCCATAAAACCACCTGCATCATGTAACCTCAATACACCCCCCAACATACTCTACCGCCCATACACCACACCTACCTGCATCGTCCATGAGTCGCTGCTTGCGCTCGACGGCCAGTTGTTCTTCAGTCATTTCACTGCGGCGTTGCATCTCTAACAGTTCCTTCACACGCGCCTCTTCTTCATCGCGGTCTCTCTGCAATGTACAATGGGGGTTTACGGCACATCATGAGCAATGGGGGTTCACGACACGCCTTATGCAATGGGGGTTTACGACACATTTTATGCTCTGGGGGCTTACGACGCACCTTATGCTATGGGGGTTTACGACACACCTTATGCTATGGGGGTTTACGATACACCTTATGCTATGGGGGTTTACGATACACCTTGAGCAATATATACGCAGGTTAGTAACCCCCCACAGGACAGGTGTCAGCATACGCAAGTATAGTGTGGTAGTGATAGATGAGGGTATAGTGTGATAGTGTTAGGTTTTGTTATTGTGATATAGTGACAGGTGAGCCTATATTGTCATAGTGTTAAGTTTTGATAGTGTGATAGTGTCAGGTGAGGGTATAGTGTGATGTTGTTAGGTTTTGCTATAGTGTGATAGTGCCAGGTGAGCCTATATTGTCATAGTGTTAAGTTTTGATAGTGTGATAGTGTCAGGCGAGGGTATAGTGTGATAGTGCTAGGTTTTGCTGTAGTGTGATAGTGTCAGGTGAGGATATATTGTCATAGTGATAAGTTTTGATTGTGTGATATTTTGTGTGATAGTGTCAGGTGCGGGTATAGTGTGAGAGTGTCAGGTGAGGATATAGTGTTATAGTGCTATGTGAGGGTATAGTGTGATAGTGTTAGGTGATGATATAGTGTTTCGTGTTATAGTGTTAAAGTGTTATATGAGGTTATAGTGTTTTAGTGTTATAGTGTACCTGTATCCTCTGTAATTCCCTAACCTTCCATTTCTCGTACTCTTCCTCTTCATCGCCATCTCCGTCACTGATGACGTCTTCTTGATCTGAATCTGCGACACAAATAGCAGCGCATCAGTGGAGTTAACGATAACCCTAAAACCCTATGGATAGAATGACGTTTGCCGATGAAACACGCACCTACGAGACATATCGGGATGTAACCTTACGGACAAGCCTCAGTTAGTCTACTACGTATATCATAGTATGTACTTCTACCCCACTGCTCTTGGTTTAGGATGTAATACAGACAGGTCTCAGATAGTCTACCACGTATATCATAGTATGTGCTTCTACCCCACTGTTCTTTGTTTGGTGGGCATTGAGTGTATCTCTTACCGCTGTTTTCGGCTGGGCCGAATACATCCGCCTTTACGATCTCCCCCACAATCCGTTGCGTCTCTTTCTTCTGATTCTCTAACTTCTGCTCGTGACGAGAAGGAATAGCGAGATAAAGATTAGACTGAGTAGTTATAGAAGGAAAGACAAGTTATCGGTGGATTTAGGATGAGATCACTGTGGACTGAACCCTTATTGTGCGTCTCTATACGTATTGTGCGTCTCTATAAGTTTGGAATATTGAAAGATACTAATGATGACTATCCGATGCAACATCTCTTCTCTCTTCGGAAATGTTGTCCGTATGTAGTCCATAACACGGCCACTAGGGTTTTAGGGTTTGTATGTGATACTTCTATCACAATTGAACGATTAGATACAATGTAGGGTCTTAGGCTATGCCTGTCACGACAGCGTAGATACGATGCAAGCAACGAACCTATACTATATCCACCAGAAGCTTACATCCGTAGTTACGACCGCTCAGGCACACTATCACCAACACAGACAACCTATCACTAACACAGAGACACAAGCCACAAACCTTCACGAAGCCAAGCATGCAACCAATACTTAACATCTCACCCAGACAACAGACCCATCCACATACGTTTCTTTGCGATACGTCTCCCCATACCTTGACTCTGTTTAATCAAACAACAGACCCATTCACGTACGTTTCTTTGCGATACGCCTCCCCATACCTTGACTCTGTTTAATCAAACAACAGACCCATTCACGTACGTTTCTTTGCGATACGCCTCCCCATACCTTGACTCTGTTTAATCAAACAACAGACCCATTCACGTACGTTTCTTTGCGATACGCCTCCCCATACCTTGACTCTGTTTTCCTCTGCCTCTACGGCATCGGCCTCCAATTTCTCTCTCTCTGCCAACGTTACTCTGTTCTTTTTGCTCACAAACACAGGTCGTAACCTGACAGCCAAATGAGTTGGTCAGGTTATGAGTTGGTTAGGTTTGATCCATGCCATTAGGTACGGATATGCACTAGTGCTGTAGTAACATGTAGATACGTCTCTATAGAAACATATAGACATGTCTCGGTAGTAAAATATAGACATGTCTCTGTAGTAGCATATAGACATGTCTCTGTAGTGACATATAGACATGTCTCTGTAGTAACATATAGACATGTCTCTGTAGTAACATATAGACATTTCTCTGTAGTAATGGATGGACATGTCTCCCTCGTGAGTCTGAATACGAGTTGAATTGCCTTCTTATAGGCATCGCGGTTTCATGCAATTTTGGTGAACCGGCATTGGGTACACTCTAAAAAATGAATGAAATTTGGGTTCCTGAAAAGCTAGGGAATAAGCTCAGACCCGGACTTAATTCGCGGGAAGATGTGTTCTAGGGTTTAGGGTTGTGTAGGGTTGTGTAGGGTAATTGTATACGTACAGTCAATTAGCACGACAGCATAATCCCAATTGCAGGCCCCAGTGCTGCTTGATACTGGGAGAGCATACGCTGTTCGCCCATTTTGTCTATGGAGACTATCTGGAACTCCGTATAAGTTTATGTATAGGTACCCTCATGGAGAAGTACACGCTTTAAGCTTGGCCACACGTACAAACGCTCCGTACGTGTTGGCACACAAACCCCTTGCACGTGACAAAACGTACTCTGGTATAGTTCAAATATCCCTTTGCACGTGAAAAAACGTACTTTGGTATGGTTCAAATATCCCTTTACACGTGACAAAATGTACTCTGGTATGGTTCAAACATCCCCTTTGCACGTGACAAAACGTACTCTGGTTTGGTTCGAATATCCCTTTGCACGTGACAAAACGTACTCTGGTATGGTTCAAATACCCCTATAGTTGGAGACTACTTCCACCCACCCGGCATTGTTTGCAACTGCACCCCTCACCCATGTCAGCCAAGTATAGCTCAACGCATACGTCTGCAACAACCGCTGTGCTGTTATATAGATAACGTCAACACACACGCCTGCTGCAGTGTATAGTCGTATTAAACTGGACATAGACTCAAACGTATGTATACCTGATGTTGTGGCCGTCGTCACTCTCCTCTTCACTTCCGCTTTCACCGCTTGAGCTCTCTTCGCCTGACGATGCATCGGATTCGTCTGAGGCAAACTGTTGTGGTGTAGTACAAGCGTACGGGTTCAAACATGCAGTGCTCCACAGTTCACTTCACAGCTCAGTGACATGTGTGTGTGTGCAAGTACAATTTAACCTTGATCTGGTCTCAAATACCAATCCATGAGAACGACATGTATCAAGCATGCGTGTGGATATTTCTGAGGAATCATGCATAGGGTTTTAGGGTTTACGGTTTACAAAACCCGAAAACTCTATAAACCGTACATGCCATACAAACAAAACCCTGCGTCACTACGAAGCTTCAACAGCGATTACGTATGGCTGTATGCTGCATGTGGCTATCCTAGTCCGGTACAACAGTTGGTACTAATACTTATACCCGTAGGTAGGGAACTTGTACTTCTGAATCCGAGTTGCAGTAGACTGCAATGTCTATAGATCGTGGGTGTCAAAACTACCCGTCTCTACCAGGCGTTTTAAACGCTAATGATCACCTTGTCATGGCCAACACATAATAAGGCGTAAAAAGGTGTGCCGTTGTGTCTGGCGAAGAGACTGTGTGAGTGTCGTACCAATATATTGGCTGTAGAAAAGAATGCCTTCTGTAGCCTGCCCTTATTCATATGCATACACATACGGATAATCATACTTTTGTACACCAACACTGAGGACGCATATATGAGTGTGAACTAGTAACTAAAACTCAGCAAATGAACCATTAATTGAACTATTAATTAAAACTCAGAACATGAACTATTAATTAAAACTCAGTAAATAAATAACTAAATAAAATTCAATAAAAAAACTATTAATTAATACCCAGTACATAAACTATTAATTAACCTCAGAACATGACCTGGAGTGCAGTGCCTTGCATGTGCTTCACTGTGTACCTGTGCCACGGGCTGTTGTGCTGTGAGTGACTCTTGTGCTCGTGCGCGGAGTGCCTCTCGCCGTTTAGCCAAAGCCTCGTCATCTGACTCATTTGCATCTGGAACTGTTCTCAAGGAACACACAAGTTACCATGTCGACATAAATGAGTACACACATGTTACCATGACGACGTATATGAGTAGTCACATACGTGCGCACCATGTGTATATTGAAGGAGCACTCACATCACATATCGCCACAACCCCCTGTCTACAGAACCAGCGACACACGCCCAGAACGTAGCCACGTATACCCGTGTCACCACATGTTTATACTGTACAGATAAATTTTGGGCCAGGTTTACACTCCAACCAGGTGTCTATCTTTAATTAGCTACATATTACGTTTAGGTTTCCAAAGGGGTTAGCATTTTTAGAGTTGGTCAAATATGTTGGTCTATAACAAAAAACATTTAGTCGGTAGAAGACAATTTTGTCATGCTGACGCACAATCACACATATACTCACTCATTCACTCACTCACTCGCAAACACACACACACAAACACACACAC